TGTATTAACCCCTCTCTCTCAGTGCAGTGTTAATGTTTGGCTCGTGATGAGGTTGTGATCGAGGTGTTTACAAGCTGCAGCTGGAAGGAAACCACTGTGGGGGTGTGGGGGTGTGGGGGGTGTCAGGCACGTGTGCAGTTGTCAAGAACACAGCAGCTTCACACCTGATAAGCAGTAGCATCACAAACCCTAAAAAGAAGGTTGAAGAGGTGACCCCCCCCACCTCAAGCCTCAGAAACACAGACACTCCCCCCCTCGCTGCCTCACACACATGCACAGTGGCACGTACACACACACCTCCACGTGCACACACACACACACACACACACCCCAGAGGCACCGCACGTGTGATGGAAGATCGAGGGGCTGGGAGGGCAGTCTGGGGGCTGTGCAGGGTTTTGGAGGTGATGAACGCACACGAGACTCACGGCACTCCTGACAGCTGTACAGCACAGCAGAAGGAAAGGCTCACGGGTTCGAACGAGAGGAGCCGTTCAGCCCAGCCGGCTCGTGGGGTCCGTGCTTGTTCCAGCGCCCCCTCGTAGGCTCGAACCCAGACTGTTTTCAGAACCATCTCTTTACTTCAGGCAGCGGAGGCCCCTGAGGTGTCCGTGTCCTGAAACGGGCTTCTTCCTGGCCCGATGGGCCACAGTCCTCAGAGCAGCGGTGAGAGGGACAGGCTGAGGGATCTCATCAGGACGACCCGCGATCAGCTCCAGCGCCGAGCAGGACCGAGCCGGGCTCTCGACGAGAACCTCAGCCTGATCGCAGTCCGACAGTGAAACCCAGAGCGCTCTTCCGCGAGAGCGGGGACCTTCCACCCCCACTCTTCAGAGTTGCAGGGACGGGTTCATGACCCAGGGCTTGGAAATAAGTGTTCTGAAGGAGGCCCGACCTGAGCACGAACCGAACCGAGCCCAACCCAGGACAAACCTGAGCATGACCCGTGCCTGAACTGGGCCCAACGCAAGCAAACTGAGCCCGACCCGAGCCCAACCCGAGCTTGACCCGAGTTCAACCCGAGCCCGACCCAAGCCCAACCCGAGCTTGACCCGAGCTTGACCCGAGTTCAACTCGGGACCGACCCAAGCCTGGCAGCATCTCCAGCTGAGATCACAGCCTCCCGATCCTGATTCCTGTTGAATTCCTGTCTTTCCTACGTGTGCAGGATTGCACAGGCCAGCAACCTCCAGAGTCCAGGTCAAGCCGAGAGCTGCAGTGATGGAGTTGGACAAGTGGTCACTCTGCCCACCCTCCTGACCCGCAAGGGCAGCTGTGATGCCGGTCCAGGTTCGAGCTCGGGTGCCATGACAACCACAGAGGCTGCAGGATCCACATTCATCCAGAGAGACTCCAAAGCAGCCTGGAACGTTCCTCCTTATAGGGGACAGGAAGAAAGAATCTTGCTGAGGCCTCGACGGTCCAGCCTCCCAGGCATCACTTCCTGCTTCCTGCTTCCTGTTTCAGCCAGGGTGGCACTGCAGTGCGGTGTGGTGTGGTGCTGTGTGTGCGTCAGAGTGGGGACGAGTCAGGATAGATCTGCTGACACAGACCTCCCCACAACCGGATATGACTTTTGTTATAGAGCAAGGTGCATCTTTTAAATCTGAGATTGTCAAGGCTGTTGATGAAGGTTGTCTTCCCCCTGTGTGGAGTGTAAGAGTGCGACTGCATGTGGCCATGAGTGTGCCTGATTGTGAGAACATATGCACCAGTATGACTGAGTGTGCACAGGCCAGTGAGTGAGTGTGACTGTGGAGGAGGCTGGCTTGCATCACCTAAGAGATAGGGCTGCACGTCTCTGTCAAACCAAACCACATGGTTTTTAGTTCTAAGCTATAACCAGGGGCAGTCACAGCCAGGAGGGCAGAGCAGTTTTGGGGGACTAGGGGGACCCCAAAAACACCTAGTCTGTGCAAAAATAAAAAGAAGAAAAACACTTCTACCCCCACAGATGGAGACCTGGTCCAGTACAGACATCCAGACACTTTTCAGACGGCATCAGGGCCAAATCAAATTTCCTCTCCACGCATGTGTGGTTTCTGAACAACCGAACTTCTGATGCGAAACCTTTGGCTGAAC